CAGCATTCTGGTTCATAGTGGCACCTTCTAACTGTGTCCTCATATAGTGGAATGAGCAAGGGAGTTCTCTGGGGCCCTTTTATAAGGGCATTAATCCCATTCATGATGGCTAATCACCTCCCAAAGGCTAATACCATCACATTGCTAATTAGGTTTCCATGTATGAATTTTGGGGAAACAAACATTCAGACCATAGCAATGACCTAAGAAAATGCTCAGGAGACAACAGCAAGTAAAAAATTCTAAGTTGAGAAATCCATATACAAATGTGTTTCAACTTTTAAAGTATGGAAATATAATAAAGACTGGAATAAAAACACGGAAATTTCACGATTGTTGACTCCGAATAATTATATACTACTATGTGTTTTTTCTAGATTATCTACAATGAGCATTGTTACTTTTATAATCAGAAAATTTTAACAAAAAAAGGGAAGTAGAACTATAGCCATAACTCACCTTTCAGAACTCAACTGACCAGTAAACCTTACCAATCTGAAAGACAACCTAGTATCAAAAATTATGCAAAAAAGATATTGAGCAGCCAAAATACATGTCACAAAGCCCTTGCGTAAAGGCACGGGTACTTTGTTCATCAAGAAAGCCATTCATACCTTCTTTCACACATATCTGAATTCCCACTAACTTGTTATCTGATGTTTCAGAAGCATTGGGGACATAGATACACAAACAACAGTGCAAAAGTGATGGACCTTAGCCTCACCACAATAAAAAAATAACAAAAATACAAATATAACACAGACATAGACACTCACAAAGCAGTTCAGGGGCAACTATGGCCAAAACATCCTAAACAATTCAATAAATCTCTGTAAAGTATCATAACAGACATTCACTGTAACACTCTGAGTTAAAAAAAATGTTCCAAAGCAATCCATTTGAATGTAGACTGGTTGGTTAAAGAAGAAAAGCTCCTAATGCATTTTAGAAAAACTTGATCACGAATGTTTATAATAAAAAATTAGAGTGCTTAAAGAGAATCTCCTCAGCTATCCAGAGCAACTCATTCTTGCAAGTTCCCCATAGTTGGAGTTTTACTATGTTGAAAAGGATTTTATGGTTGGCTTCATCGACCAATATAAATCTGGAGAATAATCTGGAAGGAAATGATTAATGACTGCTTCTTCCCAAGGAAGTTTAAAAATAAGTAACTGTAGGCACATCAGAATCAGCGTTAATGCAGCAATTGCTACTACATGCGGCCAGGTTGTTGATGTTATTTTGGCTTAAATCCATATTCTGAGAAGAATTTAGGTACCACACAGGCAGCCGGAACCTATCAGCTCTCAGGATAAAATCAGTAGGCCCCATTCCATCACACAGGACAAACTGTAAACCAAAGAAATATCTAGTCCACCTCCTTCATACTTGCCTCTTTTGCTTCTGACTTCAAAAATGGGGCTAGAAAAACCAGGAAGAAGAGACCGATTATGTACATATCTGTGGAACAAAGATTATGCAAACTGCCAGCACTCCATTGTTTTTGTTTTCAGCATGGTTATCACAAAACAAAAACAAAAAGATAACTTCTGCATCTGAAGCCCTATTATTTGAAAACAGACCTGAATACTTCCTCCTCTTTCAATAAAGCAGAAGGCACCCTTCATTCTACTTATCTCTAAGATACTTATTTGCTGATAGGGGACTAGTTACTATTTCTACATGAGAGCTTGACAGAATCTATCTGAGGAAGCCATTTCCTGAGTTACTCTAGAAGCCTCTCACTGCTTTGACATTTGCCAAAAATCCAAGAGAGCATTTTTTTAAAATTCCCCATCTTCCATGCCCCCCCCATGGCTATAAAGGGAAAAATATAATCACAACCATGGTTAACGGCCCTTTAGCACCCTGACCTCTCTGAGGCCTCTATTTGTCTTTTATTCCTTTTTCTTTTAAATAACCTTACCGGTTGTTTTTCCTGGTTATGAAAGTAATACATGTTTGTTCACATGTAGGTATAAAAAATAAAAATAAATTTAAAAAAAAGTAATACATAGTCATTGCCACAATTAAAACAACACAAAGATGTATGAAATAAAAATTAATAACTTCCTTTCCCTTAAACTCTCACTCTTCTCCCAAGGAAGCCAATGTTAACAGCTTTTTTACTTCTTTCTAGGCTTACACAAACGTACATAACATATTGAGGCCTTTTTTGTTTTGTTTTGTGTTTTAAACAAAAATGGGATATTACATATACTATCATGCATTTTATCTTTTAGTCTTAAAAACCATGGACATTTTTCAAGCCAATATATATAGATCCATCAAATCCTTTTTAGTTGCTGCAAAGTATTCCATAAAACAGATGTCCCATAATTCATTCAACCATTACCCTGACCTTCCCAACTCATCAACATCTTGGATGGATCTTCATGATCTTCATGCATATGCTCCTTCATGTCCTTTAATTTCAGTAACAGATACCTAGAAGTGGGGTTTCTAAGTTGAATGAAACATTTTCAAATGTTTAAAATTTTATATTTAAACAAAATTAATTTTAGACCTTCAAAATTTCTGTTCCTTTCTTCATTATGCAAAATTTTGGTATAAACCTTTCACAATGCTTTGCATACTTTATTTTTAAAAGCACATACATTATGTCAAAAAATGCCCCTGTCATTTATGCTGGTGTAGTTATAAATAAATAAATGCTTATGTTATAGCTGTGATAGCCAGTGTTAAATCACTGTGCAAATGCTTATGCCTTGGTTTATGAAAGCAGTAATTCATTGTGGAAACTCCACCCCCACATGTGGCAGCACTAAAGTCTCACATCCTGTGACTCCCTCCCACAGAGTGACTATACAGAGATCAGGACCTATGTATTTTCTAATTGTCAACAGTTAACCTTTAAAAGTGTGTGGCGGGGGAGACAAGTAAATAGGAATAGATGACAAATTGATGGCCATTTTGGGTTTCTAACATTGCAAATTATTTGTAACACAATGAATAATTCTGCTAATCTATACCAGAGACCATGCTCCATAGAAAATACCACCTATAACCAATATGTTATCATAGGAACCTTTCAAAAACATATTCTTCCAACATTTTTCAATAGAATCAGTGGTTGAATCCCACTTTCCATTTTTTTCTCTACTTCATATTCAGATTCCCATTGCAAACTTTAAAAAAAGCCTTAAAGAAATACATTAACCAACGAAGCTCCTTATAATTTAACCTCAGACTTCTCCATATATTCTAAAGACCTGAGCACCAACAGAGATTGTTAAGACACAGCAAGTTTGATACAGAAGTATGTGACATGCAATTAATCTCTATTCATACCCTGCTCTACTTGTCAGCAAACAAAGGTTCTGCTTTAGAAGGAGATCTGAAGACTTCAATTAAAAACAGTCAGCTAACAAGAAAATAATCTAAGCTAAAGGAAGGTGGCAGGTGCAGAAATGAGTTGTTTACCAAAGTGTCAGTTTCAAACAATAAAGAACTGCACATCAAAAATGTCGATGGAGTGGATTTCATTGTAAGCCTCTGAAAATAAAAAGGAATTTTCTACCAAGCCTGCACACAAGACTGAAGTGTGCTTTAATAAGCTTATAAAATAGGTTTCCTCTCGTTGAATGATAGATACCAATAGAAAGAATCACTTTACATCTTTAAATGCAAGGGCAGAGTTAAACTTTTTGCCACAGTTCCTTCTCTCCTAGAAACCAGAAACAATTACAACCTTCCTTCACAAGCCTAATATGAAACCAAACAGCAGAGGGAAAGGCCGGCTTGCTTTTTGGACATCCAGATAATGCTCTTTTACCCTGCAAATAGTTTTCTATTCCTAAAGTTTAGATTCACTTGGGTCATAAGGAAAATGGATTTTGGAAACCCCACCTCAAAAGAAACACCTGGTTGACAGCTTTTACGTAGAAGCGATCCAGAATGGAAATAGTGCTACAAGCAAAGACCAAAAGGGTTTGCCAAATATTTGATTAGGAGACATTTATACCAAGATAACAAGGTAATGGAGATATAAAGCCAATTAAATTGAGAGAAACTGAAAAAGAATACTGCTTGCCAAAAGTATGACCTGCCCAAAGCAGGCCATCTGTTAAATATGTGTCAAATATGTCACTTAGATGCCAAAAGGCTTAATTCTGAACAGCTTTCTCCTGGGACCCTTATGCAACTGCAGATTCCAGACCCTCTGTGCTCCCTAGAAGGTCAGTTACAGGCAAGCAAGTAAAAATGACTTTCACTATGAAGAGTGTGTGCCGAGCAGATGATAGTGCCTATTAGCGCTGAGTGGTTAGTGATAATGGCTTTAACTGTTTAAAGGACTGCTTAGGCGCTGTAGGGTGAAGGTGAACACACCACAGTGGGGCACTTCTAGAACAGAAGAAAGTGCAATACTGAGCACGAGCCTGCCTTGAGTCGGACACGGAAACCCCCGGCCGTCTGCAGGCTGGTACAGGCCAGGCCTGGGGTCTCGGCGCCGACACCACCTCAGCTGAGCCACCGGCCTGGCCCGCAGGATCCCATGAGCCCCTCACAGCCCCCTTGAGAGCCCCAGGGACCTCCAAGCAGGAAGGAGCACAGTCTTTTGTGAGAGGTGACAAGTCCCGGCTGGGCAGGGAGGAGGACAAGAGACCCTACAGATGTGGAGTCCTGCGGAGAAAGGGACAGGTTGAAGACCCGGCGAGGTGGCATGGGGGACCAAGCACCTGGCCTGAAGGAGTTCAGAAGCCTGGGAGGATAACTGGAGGAGTTGAGGCCTTGAGGAAAAAGAAAATGTGGAACTAAAGGGAGAGAAAGAGACCTTGAGGTGGGAGGATGGAAAGCTGGCTTTAGGAGGTTGAGGACTCCAGAAGCCTTGAGGTTCTAGAAGGAGGCGAGTGATGGAGCTGAAGAAAAAGCCCGGCCTGGGAAGTCTGGTGTCTCAGTGCCTGCCTTCAGCTCAGCACTGCAGGGACTTCCGGAGGGGTCAGGGGGCCGGGGGACCTGGGGCTGGGCCAGGGTGTTACCTTCCAGGAGCCAACAGATCTCCTCAGGGAGGGCGACGGCCTGCATTTGGCGGGGCGGGAGGGAGGCCCGAGTGTGAGGCGGGAGAAGGGGAGTGGGCCCCGGTCGGAAGGCTGCGGGCCGGAGGGCGGCCTGGCTGCGCCGCGGAGGCACCTGTACCTCTGCCGCTGTTGCCGCCGCCGCAGGGCGGGGCCGCGGGGCCCGGGGCGCGCTCAGGAAGCGGCGCGCGCAGCGGGTTGGGGGACACCGGGGGTGGGCGGCAGGGCTGGGAAGCCGGGGAGGAGGGGGGCGCCCGTGCGCGGGTGCCAGCCCAGAGGTAGAAGGATTGGGGCCGCGGGAAGCACCGCACCACGGGAAGCCAAAGGGGCGCCCTCCAGGCCCCCCACTAAAAGAAAAGACTTCACACGACTCAAGGGAACCAGGGCTCTTGGAGACTCCACCCTAAATACTGAACAGTTCGCCTCAAGGTGGCAAGTTTAAAAGGCCACGGGGTGCCTGAAATGGGGCGCGGGGAGGCTGACTCCAAGGGACAGATTAGTCCCCGCCCTGCATGGCATCCCTCAGCTGCCCCTCCGCTTCGCGCCTCCATGTCCAGAAAAGAGGACAGAACGTTCACTATCCCCAGGAAGCCACCATGTTTAAAGGGAATGATAGTAAGTCTCAATAAATAATATAAGGTCATAACATTTAGGAGAATTGGAGCGGCACGGCAGCAGTGGTCCAGGGAGCCAGTGTCCCTGCCTCCCTGAGGCTGAAAGGGCTGTGAGGAAAGGAAGGGGAAACCTGGGGAGAGAGCTGAGGGAGAGAACAGAGCCCTTTCCCTCTAACAGCTGATAAAGGGAGGAAAGTGAAGGACGAGATCACGGGGAGGTGCTCTGTCCCTCTCATTCTGAGTACAGCTGGTGTGGATGTCCTGGTTGTGATATAGCACTGTAACGTTGAGGGGAACTGGGTAAAGGTACACAGGGTCCCTCTGTATTCTTTCTTTCTTTCTCTATCTCTTTCTTACTTTGTTAAGAGACAAGGTCTCACTCTGTCACGCGGGCTGGAGTGCAGTGGAGTGGCTCCATCATAGCTCACTGCAGCCTGGAACTCCTGGACTTCAACAATCCTGTCTCAGCCTCCAGAGTAGCTGGGACTACAGGCGTGGACCACCACACCTAATTTTTTTTTTTTATTTTTTGTACAGATGGATTCTCACTTTGTTGCCCAGGCTGGTCTCAAACTCCTGGCCTCAAGTGATCCTCCAAAATGCTGGCATTACAGGTGTGAACCACCGCACTGGGCCATCTGTGTATTATTTCTTACAACTTTCTGTGAATTCACAATTATCTCAAAATAAAGAGTTTAACTGTTTTTAAAGTACAATAGGCCAACTGCCATGAAAATGGTATAAAGTGCTTGGTCAATAAAAGAAGGGAGATTGATATAAGAAAAGGAGAAATGTGCCAGTGGATGTGTGTGTGTGTTTAAAGGTTCACGTGGTGTTTGAGATTATCTTGGAAGGGCTGAGAGGACTTTCCGCTTACAAGGATCCGAGTAAACAAAGATAGAAGAGCCCTCTCCTGCTGCGGAACAGCTAGTAGCCCTCTTTCCCTGGATGGGGAGACTACTATTGTCAAGACAAATTGGAGCTCTGTCGTGAAGGGACTTCAAAGTCAGAACGGGGATTTTGAACTCAATTGAGTGGGCACTGGGGATCCATTGGCAACTTTCGATCTGGGGAATGACCTAACCAGAGCTCCTATGTAGTATGTGGCCTCACACATCTTTCTTCACCTCTATCGTTTTTCTTCTTTGTAAAAAAAAAAAAAAAAAAAAATGATGTTAAATATGTAGAAAGGATTGAGAGTGGTAAGAGAGGACACGGGGAAGGTAGGCGAAGTGGGTTTTACGGCAGCCTCAGGGGATAATGATAGACTCAACCTGGGAGACAAGGTGAGAGCAGCAAGAAGAAACAGTACAGGACTCCTGGTAGCAGTGCCCGCCTCCTGGCATAGTTTCCCCTCTGGAGATACAACTGCAAGATTGGGGGCTTGATCCTTCAAGGAGTGCCATGGCTTTGATCACATCCTGCCATCTGAAAAGGAATGGTGGCTTAGTTTCAGGGTCACATGACCCACCTACAAGTTGCTGCAAATTGGGGTGAGGGGACAGAGGCTGGCATGAGTCTCTGGGAAATCTGGCTCCTGCTCATCCTCCTTCATGCCCTGGGAAAGTATAGCGGTAGGCAGGCTGCCTTTTTCAGGCTTCAGAGCAAATACCAGGAACCCCTGGGACATTTTTCCCAATGTCACCGTTCTCCCTATAAAATTGTAGTTGCTCTGGAATCATTTTGGAGCACTTATATCATGTTAAAAAAGCAAGGGGAGGTATATGGAAACTCTCTGTACTATCATCACTTTTTTTTATAAATATAAAACAGTCATGAAAAAATAATCAGGAGAAACAAACTCCCCCCTATATGTCAACCCAAACTTTGCCTTGCTTTCCCTCTGGAAAATGGAAGAAAATTTGATAACCTCCTCCTTTCCTTCAGTGATATTGTGCCACATGCTAATATAGGCTACTAATTGTTTGATAAAGAGCAATAAACCCAGGTAATTGCACTTCCTTGCAGGCCACCTCTCATAGCTTACTATCCTGAAGAAAACAGCAAAAACTCACAGTGTAGGTATCCTGCATGCATTCTTCCCCACACAAATCTCTGGGTTTTAGAGAGTTGGGGGTAGAGGGAGATGCAGTTGGGTAGCATGTGGTTGGTGACTGGCAGATTCCAATGCGGTATTGTCATGTTGCATCAAGGTTCCTCATTGCAGACAGAAACCTGCCTCCACACATGGGCACAGCCCCTCCTTAATCATCTGAGGACCCTGGTTCAGCAGTCAGCCTCACTCCTAATGACATTCTGTTAAATGGACAAATTCCTTTGAAGCCTTGTCCTTCTTTGAAATCCAATTTCCCAGGAAGCCAAATCTGATTGGGGGTAGTCATGGAAACCACACGAAGGAGTCTTAGAGGAGGTGAAGAGAGGCAAGGCAAAACGTGATAGTCAAGAGTCCTTTACCGCTCTGTCAGAAATATCAAAGAGATCTGGAGAGGTTGGCAGCAGCCGAGTCCCTGCCCAGGTCCTGTTCTGTGTGGCTGGGTACCATGTGGCTGTCATGGAAGAAAACAGCCAGCTGTCTCCACACTCAGGCAGGGGGATGGAGCAGAATACACAAATCCCAGGTCTGCCTCCCTTTTCTTCCCCTCCCCCAAGACCCAATTCCAGCAAGATCTTAGCATCCCCTTCTTAGCCACCCGCCCCTTAAAGGCAAACAACAAAAGAATGACAAGGTTAAAATACAAGGCCCTCACAGATAAGAGGTCCTTTGGAGTAGAGGCCAAGAAATTAATCTGAAATTCCTTGTAATTAGATAAGATAAGGGTATCTAAAGAGATGCAGAGCAGCCAGGAATGGAGTCTGGCAGCACAACATGCAGAAAATATACTGCCTTGTCCACCGGGACCCCTCACACACTGTCAGCAGTCAGAAGACACAGAAAACAGGGCCCACGTCGGCTTCTGGACTGCTTGGGGATGCCGTCTACATGTTCTCATGCCAGGTGAGCACTCACTAAATATGCATCCATGGGGTGTCCAGAGGGCCCAATCAGGAAGAAACAAAAGCATCTGGCACCCAGAATGGCACGGAGTGGGAACAACTGCAAGCAAAGCAGGAGCCAGCTGGCACTGCTCTGCCCTGGGTGAAGGGGTCTAGAGAGGAAACTGCGGAAGGCAGGCTCTGAGGCTTTGTTCTGAGCTGGTTATCGATCCCTCGATGCTGGGTCATGATATGTGGCAGAGCTGACGTCTGCCCTATGGATGTGCGGCCACTGCCTCTCAGCCTCTTGGTCCCAACCCATCAACCAGGTTTATTGACTCTTTTATTGACAATGCTAGGGCCTAATGAGGACAAGAGCTACACACTTCATTAAGGGATGTGGAAGGAGAGATGATGCATCCTATCAGTGCCAAGACCAGGCTCACTGCATGCTTTGCAAGACCCCAGAAACCAAGCCTCATGCCACCTCAGCATCAGAAGAGGTGGACATAAGATGCCAACTTGAGCGCATCATTTTATTGGCCTTAAAATGCAGGGTTTCTGCAGCTTGCTAGAAGCCTTGCTCTTACTAATTAGCTAACCCTTCGACTTAGGAGGGGCCTATTATACACACACTCACACAAACACCCTTTTTTTTTTTTTTTTTTGAGACAGAGTCTCACTCTGTCACCCGGGCTAGACTGCTGTGGCATCAGCCTAGCTCACAGCAACCTCAAACTCCTGACTTTAAGTGCTCCTCCCGCCTCAGCCTCCCACAGTGCTAGGATTACAGGCGTGAGCCACCTAGCCCGGCCTACAAATGCACTTTCGATGGGCTTCCCTTCCAGCTCACACTCCTAGATTCTCTGCCCTAATACACACAACAAAATAAGCAGGTTCTCATATCATATCAGGGAACATTCCCATAAGCAGGTTCTCAATGAGGAACAGGCTTGGAACAGAATGAGGGACGATTAAAACTCAAAAGAATCTTCAAGGGGATCAAGTTCAAGATGAGGAACAGAGCTGGTGCTCTGCCCAGGGCCTCCCAGCTCACTAGGAGCTTTGCTGGCATTAGAATCTGATCCAAAGCTCTTGCAGAACTGAAAAACACCTGAGATAGATAGTTACCACCTAGGGATCACCTAGCAGCTCTGTGAAACAATCACTATTGGTCCTCCTCCATCTAAATAGTAACATTTCCTTCTTTGTTCTATATCTTATTTTTCTTTCGTTCACCCTATTATTTTCCCCAATCTCTCTCTCTCTCTCTTTTTTTTTTTTTTTTTGGTATCTTCTTTACCTATCCCTTAGACCATATTAGATATTCCCCTTGGGCACTGCTGAGCCCACCGGAGGACCTAAAGACCAAAGAGGTTGCTGACTCTGGCATTCTCTGTCTTTGATTGGTTCTCTTGGGAATCTGAAGGGGGGGTTGGAGGGATTTGGGATGTGTCAGCTGCAGCCAGGCAAGGCTGTACACTCTCCGAGTGATATGCAGAAGCAGTTTATGTGGTTAATCTGCATGAGAGGCAGATGAGGCTAAGGCCAATTTTATAGGCTAGATATTTGCATATGTAACT